AAGCCACCCTGTAGCTTGCCTGGTGCTGACAAAGCAAGTTTCACACCCCCAGCCATTCACAACTCACTGTTTAGGACCTGACTGGCCACCCAACCCATGGCGGCTTCTTTCCATGATTAAGCCACAATTCAGCCAATGTTCCATGATTAAACCCTGATTCAGCCAACTGGGCCATAGCACAACACAGAAACCCTGCCGGTGTAGCTTGGCTGCCCCATTTCCACTCTAGCTGGTTGCCTGCCAGACAGAACAGAACAGAGAGACGCAGCTCTCCCTCCTCACCCTTCCACCCCTGCGGTGCAGTCCTATCTGTTGAAAATGTCCCTGTCTCATGGCATGGAGCTGTTGTGGGGACGGCTGATGGTGGCTTTGACTTCTCACCTTGCGGCAGAACTGGAGGAAGTGCTGCTGTTTTCGTCTGAGCTGGAGGATAAATCCTCCTCACTCCTGCTACCATCTTCCTCCTCCTCTTCCTCTTCCTCCTCCTCCTTCAATTGGGCCAAGATTTTCTTCGCCAGCTCTGGAGGCAACGCGCGGCACCCGCCTTTTCCTTTCACAGCCCGCTCGATCCGTCCCTTCAACAACTGCCGCTGTCTCTGCCGTTTTTCATCTGGTATCCCGCGCAGCGCATGCACAGCATTAGTCCAGAGAGCCATAGCTTCCTCGTCACTCGAATCCCTAGGGGAGGGCAGGCCCAAGGAAAATGGGTTTAGAGCACATCCTTTAATGGAGGGGGCCGCTGACACTCCACATCTGGTGAGCCTCCCATTGCTCCTGACTGGAGGCTAGGTTGGTTACGGTTCTTGGAGCGCAATGATTTCCTATTCTCCTGTTTCATTCCTCTGGGGTGGTAGATCGCGCACAATCTGTCTTCTCGTTTCTTCAGCCCTTGGGAGTTATAAATCTGATTTAAGGCTTGGCATGTTGGGAAAACTCACCCAACTGGGGCCTGTCTTATAAATCAGAGTGAAGCAAGCCAGCGAGTGCATCAAGCTATGTTCATCAAGTGTCAGCCTTACCAGGTAGACCAGACAGGAAACACGACCAGATGAGCTCATTCTACTTTATGGTAAAGCTACATGAACACAATCTTGCAAGTCTGAAAGTACAATTCTCCCCCCACATCTCCTTTACAGCCCGAGGAACTAGAGAGAGTCTCTTCTGAGTCTCTTTTTCCATCCATTATGCAGCTGAGGGCTCAGCTCCCTCTTATCTGACTGTTCCCCAGGCAGCGTCTCTTCGCCCCATCTCCTAAGGTCTTTCCCACATACCATTACATCAAGAGACCTGTAGCACCCTGTGCAAACCTTAATTCAGATAAGTTCATTGGGAAGGGGTTCAAACCATTAAGCATGGACTTTTAAGGCTGTGAGAAACCCTGTGATGGGGAGGTATCCCCTCATGACCCAGATGTCCCCTACATCTTTCATTTGTTTTTATCCATGGAGGTCAAGGGCCTACAAAACAAGAGTGTGGGGAAATCCAACATAGGAAAAAGTTGGGGACACATTATTGTTCATGCAACAGACTACAATAAGATGAGGCTTACTAGCTTGGGGTTTCCCATAGCTTGTTGAACAAAGTTGTTGAATTCTGAGTTTGCTCAAGATAGCAAAGCATTAAAATAACCCGACAGACTGAGTTTGCCCAAGATGTTGAGCCACACCCACGAAAATAATCAGGAAACTCAGCAGGTTGTGGGAATGGCTGCGTGTGAACCTAGGAAGAGCTGCATCTGGGATCGCAGCTTCCCTGCGCCGACCTTTGCACAGGCAGTCCTCCGAATGTGGGGCAGCGGCCTCTCCCTATCGCTCCCTTCCTATAGAAAGACTCCAGAAGATCAACCCAAAAGAAGGACACCATGAGGACTGGAAGCTGCCAACACTTACATCTCCTCATCCATGTCTCCCTGGTAAGTGAGCGGGGCCATGCAGATGGAACAGATGTTGTCGAGAAGCTTGTAGCATTCGGGGCAGTATATTCCTGGCAAGGGAAGAAAGACACCAAGCAACATTAGTTCATCATCAATACATCTCCCCAACTTTGGGCCTCTAGATGTTGGCTAGGCCACAGCAGCCATATTCCTCAGCCAGGTGGGATTGTAGCCCAAAGACCCTTAGAAGATCTAACGTTCGGGAAATGTACAGGTAGACCTCACTTACCGACCGCTTTGTTTAGCAACTGTTTGAAGTTACGACAGTGTAAAAAAAAAAGGTTTGTGACCAATCCTCGCATTTACTACCGTCGCAGTGTCCCACAGTCACGTGATCGCCATTTGTGTGCTACGTAACTGACTTGTGACAAGCAGAGGGAATAAGAGAATGTGGAAGGAAAATCATAAGTCGCGGTCAGGGGATGTTTCCCTTATGGACCGCAGTGATTTGCTTAACAACAGAAGTGGAAGTAGGGTCGTAAGCCCATCACGGTTGTGTGATTTTTTTGCCTAGTGAGTGCGGCAGTCCCAATTGTGGTCGCTAAGTGAGGACTACCTGTAGTCCTAAAGCTCCCCCCAAAGGGTTATCGTAAGTCAAAATGAGATTTTAGCCTCTTTATCCCTCTAGTTCAGGAGGGAGAGTGAGTCCAGACTCGTTGCCCCACACCCAAACAGCGGGGAATGTGAAAGCCATTTCTTTCCAATGGAAAACAGGCTAAATATTTCCAAGACTAGTCCTCTGGTCCAATCTGGAAAGCTTGCAAACCAGTTGGTCATTAAGAAGTCTCCCTTGGTTCCTTCTGTTCCCCCCCACAGGCGTTCTTCCTTTACCCACTTCCAAACCTCGGCACGCTGGTGTGATGCATGTCACAAAGTCCTCGCTGTCCGCGTCCCTGTGGATTATCCCACAGCCCATACAATACACTTCATGGATGCCCAACTTCTTAACCAACCACCTACACAGACGGAACCTGGAGAGGAAGGCAAGTGTGCACGTGTGGGAGTGTGAAGGAGTGAGATGAAGGTAGAAATAGCTCACTGTGCTTCCTGTGAGTTTGGTCTTTTGTGAATCGGTTCACTGGGCTGTGATTTGAGGGAATCTGACCATTTCACCACTATTGTGGTAAGTCTTGCCATTTCGTCCCTTGGGCGAACTGTCAGTTTCAGCTTTGACATCTCGCTTTTGTGACTCTGTCCATGTCAGTTTCTATTAAGGTCTCACCTCAGTTTTGCAAATTCCTCCAGTTCAGTTCCTCAAATTCAGCATCCCCCACCCCTACCCCAAACTGTTGGCCCTAAAATTTCTATTTCATTCAGTCTACGTTTCTCCAAACATAACGCATTTTTCTTTGCAATCTCTCCAGAAACACACGTCTCGTTTTCTCTCACCAAATGATGTTGTGTTATATTTTTAACAAATAACAGGCCTCCCCTATACAGTCGACGGTTTTAAAAAATAATAGCAAACTGCATTCCACAGTTTGAAAAAGTCTGAATTTGGACTGTTTGGGTGGGTGCATTGATTTGAAAAGGTGACATTAAAGAAGTCGGGTGAATTCCAATGGGAATGGAATAGTTTTCTCCACATCTCTGATGAGGGTATAAAAATACCATGCCCAGAATTTTTTTTTTTTTTACGGAATTGTGCATTCAAATTAACTGCCATGGAAATGTCTTACTTGGCTGCAAAGATGAGTAAAATGTTTCGGTGGCCTTCATCTGCAGAGCGTTGCCGCACAGCCTTAAGCACAGCGGTTGTTAGCCTAGTCCTTCGCGTCAAAATAGTGTTGTAGAGGTAGCAAATTCGCTCCTGCGTTTGGGGAGGAAATTTTATTTTCTTTGAACCTCAGGTGTTGCTTAGGGAAATTTGGCAGACTGCCAGCCTGATATGGAAAAGGATATTAAAACAATCTATGGCATATTAAGACAGAGGAGAAGGGTGGGAAATACTCACCCGCTCCCGAGAAGGGTAATACCATGCGCAGAGAGCTCGCCGCATACGTTGTATGTACGTGCCAAATATGGCGCTGAATAAACAGATACCGTACATGAGGCCTGGGGAAGAAAAAGAAAGAGAAGAGCGACCAACGAGTCTCTGCTTCAGCAGGGGGTTGGAATAGATGACCTCTAATAGCCCGTTCAACTTGACAAGTCTATGCTTGTCATTATTGGAAGGGAAACTGGCTTGGACTGCGACAGAGCTAGAAGCAAGAGGTGGAAGGAACAGAGCTGTGATGTTGGGCTAAACCATTAGGAGAAACTTCTTAAGCAAAGTTTGGCCCGATATCAGACATCCTGTATCTTCAACTTGCTTTATGCATCTTCACCTGGACTGGGCAAAAGGACTACGGCTTATGGATTTTATTCATTTTTCCTTCCAGAAAAAGCCCTCCCCTTTCCGCTTGAAAGGGAAAGCCCTGTTAAAACACGGAGGAGCCTTTATGGATTCGGAATAGTTTTTCCTTCCGTGACTTCGCCGGGAACGTAAACTTGATTCTCACGGTTTAATGCGTAGGAAGTGCAAATGCAAAGATTGTGCAAATTTCGCACCCTCACCTTATGTTCTGGCTGACCGAGGGAAAAAAACTGCACGATTGAAGGGATGGGGGGGGGCGAGCGAGAATTTCCGCCCTCTTCCGCCAGGGCTTCCCCAAAAAGGAAAGACGGAAATTTGCGAAGGGAAGGGGTTGAAACCCTCGGG